ATGCTGTTCTTTTTAACTTTTTATTCATCAAAGAATCCTGAAAAAGTATCACAGGTTCCAAAAAATATTAAGCAGCAAAACTGTTTCCAACATTGATAATAAATCAGCATATTAGGATGATTTCTGAAGATCATGTGACACTGAAGACTGCAGTAATGATGCTGAAAATACAGCTTTGATCGCAGGAATAAATTACATTTTACAGTATAATAAAATAGAAAACCATTATTTTAAATTGCAATAATATTTCACAATATTACTGTTTTTACTGTATTTCTGATCAAATAAATGCAGCCTTGATGAGCAGAAGAGACTTCTTTAAAAAACATCACAAATCTTACTGACCCCAAACTTTTGAACGGCAGTGTATGTATATATATAATAAAAATTATTATATTTTAATTATATATTTCAATTCACGTTCTTTAGAGAAATATATATATGAATTATAAAAAAATAAAAATTCATTATAAAATTATATGTAATGAGCTATAGAATTAATTGTAGTAAAAATGACTTCATTTAATTTTCTCAATTTTCACAAGAATTGTAGTGTTGGCTGCATCCGTCAAGCTAAAACATTCAAACCTGTGACCAAAGTTATTGCAAGACAAATAATAAAACAAATAGTTCCCATCCAAAGCAGCTTATTAGCAATGAGAGTGCCATGAGCTCACTGTGAGTTCCTCCTCGTCGTCACTTCCCTCTGGTTTGGGCTCCTCCTCCAGAAGCTCCGCCTCTTCCTCTTTCAATGCTTCAGGCCAGTACCAGCTGTCTCTGGGAACACTGATGCCCTAAAAAAAAAAGATTCATAAGTGAATGGTGAGCATGCCGAACTAAAACCGCTCCGTTTTGGTTATATGAAATGCGGAGAAGCCTCAGTTCCGTTCATGCAAATATTTTCAAATTAAGATTTAACCCTTAAAATAAGGCTAAAGTCTTCTGACCTTCTGGCTGTCGAGCTGCTCACAGGCCCGCTGGCTCTTCCTCAGGTCACCCTGTGTTTGACGCTCTTCTCTTTCGGTTCTCTTGCGCACTCTGTAATAAACATGATACTCAACACTGCTACTCATCTGCATGCAGACACAGAGTAGCTTAAAGCCTCACATTAAAAAAAAACTATTTTATTAAACCTTTTAAAGTTTGCATCAGGCTCATAGAGTCTGATACAGTGGAGAAAATACAGCTCGATTTTATTCAGAGGCTCAAACTGAGCAAACATATGCAATTTGGTGCACATGCTGATATTTATGTGGACAAAAAGTGATGGAATTCTGCTGCTTGTAATGCAAATCAATGAGATCTTTCTAAACAGTACAGCAGATACTGACATGAAATTATATAAATATCAGCCGTCGCTCTATATCTCCAGTAATATGTCTTAGTAAGATGAGATTTAAATGATCAAAACATAAAATGCAATGCAATCCAGTGCTGATTGAGAGATGAATGAACTCAGAATGATTATACGCAGCATATAATGTTCCATGTCAATGCAAGTGAATTAACAGCCATGTCTGATATGATTTAAAATGTCTCAGTGCGACTGCTACAATGGCCTCATGTCCAGAGAAACAGACTGGAATAATATGTGACCCTGGAGCACAAAAGCAGTCTTAAGTCGCTGGGGTATATTTGTAGCAATAGCCAAAAATACAATGCATGGGTCAAAATTATAGATTTTTATTTTATGCCAAAAACCATTAGGATATTAAGTAAAGATCATGTTCCATGAAGATATTTTGTAAATTTCCTACCGTAAATATATCAAAACTTAATTTTTGATTAGTAATATGCATTGCTAAGAACTTCATTTGGAAAACTTTAAAGATGATTTTCTCAGTATTTAGATTTTTTTGCACCCTCAGATTCCAGATTTTCAAATAGTTGTATCTCGGCCAAATATTGTCCTATCCTAACAAAACCATACATCAATGGACATCTTATTTATTCAGCTTTCAGATGATGCATACATCTCAATTTCGAAAAATTGACCCTTACGACTGGTTTTGTGCTCCAGGGTCACGTACGTAACCACGTAATCCATAAAAAGTAACTGTAATCTGATGCATGAGCATTATGAAATGTAATATACTTTAATCATGAGTCCTTGATTTTTAGAATCTGATTACATGTAATCAGCTCTGTACATATTTACCTGACTAATAATAAATGGCTATATTTGATATTATTCTGAAATGATTGGCTCTAGTAGATTACACTACATCCATGTTACCACAAATCTGCATCCAGGGTTAAGTACGTACTAGATCTCAGGTTAGATGGAGCATGTGACACATGAGGTGAGATTGTAGATCTGCTTGACTTGTTATGCAGTTGAATTCACTATAGAGGACTAGACAAAAATACTTTTGAAATAATAGCAAGCATATTTCACAGTACTAGCCATAACCTCTGATTAATGTTTCCACTTTATTCAAGTTGTTATATTAACTATAGGGGCTTGACAAAAATACTTTTGAGGTATTAGCAATTATGTGGCGGCATACTTCACTGTACTAGCCATAAACTCTAAAGACTATTGTTTGAGCTTTAACTAAGTTGTTACATAGGGGACTAAATGGAGCTACTATTAAAAGAATGGCAAGCATGAGGCAGCCTATTAAATAGTCTTAGTCCTAACCTCTGGCTAACGATCAGACTGACGAGTTTATGACTGTGAGATTTGCGTTAACAGCTGACAAGAAACTCAAATGTGCAATTTAAAGTATAGAATATAATAATTTGAAATTGGCAAACAATCAAGTTTGTTTTCAGCCTAAAATCGAGGTTATAATAAAATGGAATCAGATTAGAGTTTAAGCGAAATTAAATTACAGAGTAAAAGACCGAATACATAGGAAACCTTCAGACTAAACTCTGATGAATCATATTAAAAATTATTTAAAAAAAAAAAAAAAAAAAAGACATCTGCATAATCAAGTAAAGCGAAGCTGCTTCAGTCCGTAAGTGTTCCTCTTTAAATATTACTAACAATATCAAAGTTATTCTTACATTCACTTAATAAAATGATACTAAAAGACCTTATACGTGCTAAAAAAGTCTGCTAAATGGCATGTAGTAGATTGTGTGTGACAGGTTTGCATCATTTAGAGGCCTTGCATGTCAAATATGATACAGCAGCTTTATAGGGTTAAAAACCATGAGCTTGATTTGATATCATCATACCTAAAATCCTCTATTGATTTCTTTTCCCCCTGTTGCTTCATTTGTGCTTTTCTCCTGTAATTCTGAAGCTCCTCGTCTGCTTTCCTCTTCTTGAGTTCTTCCATTCCAATGCCGCCTCTGTCTGAAAACAGCACAAGCACACACAGACCTCAGTGTTTCTAAACATCTGTCTTACATCACCAACAACACTTGCTGTTAAGAATCAGAGAAGAACCTGTTTTGATGTTCAGAGGAACCGGCTCGACGCGTCCAGCACCTGCAGCATGAGGACATGTTTTAATGCACACAAAACTATATTACACTGCTGTTCAAAAGTTTGGGGTCAGTAAGATTTGTTTTTTTGGAACCTGTGATACTTTTTTCAGGATTCTTTGATGAATGTAAAGCTGAAAAGAACAGCGTTTATTCAAAATATAAATCTTTTCTAACAGTATACACACTGTTCAAAAGTGTGGGGTCAGTGTTTTTATTTTCTTTCTTTTTTTTTGTTGAAAGAAATCAATGCTTTTATTCAGCAAGCATGTGTTAAATTGATCAAAAGTGATAATAAAGACTTATATTGTTAGAAAAGATTTCTATTTTAAATAAACACCGTTCTTTTTAACTTTATTCATCAAAGAATCCTGAAAAAAGTATCACACGTTCCAAAACAATATTAAACACAACTGTTTCCAGCACTGATGAATCAGCATATCACAATGATTTCTGAAGGATAATGATGCTGAAAATTCAGCTTTGCATCACAGAAATAAATTATATTTTGAAGTATATTAAAATAGAAAACCTTTATTTTAAATGGTAATAATATTTTAAAATATTACAGTTTTTTTCTGTATTTTTAATCAAATAAACGCAGCCTTGATGAGCAGAAGAGACTTCATTAAAACGCATTAAAAATCTTACTGAACCCAAACTTTTTTTTTTTTCAAAAGCAAAGTCCATTTAAAAGTCACAATCCCTGACCCTCTTTCCCCAGGCCTTGTCCTGCTTTATATCCCATCTTCTGCAGTAGCGCGAAGCCTTTATTTTGGCTGCTGATGGAGCTCTGCAGCGCGGCCTCCCGACTCTCTCGCTCCTGTTCTTTGTAGCTCTTCTGCCGGTTCTGTGCGTTCTTCTCTTTCTGTAGAGCCTCCTTTTTCAAGGCTTCCTTCTCACGCTTCACCATCGGGACGCCAGGCCGAACATCCGGGCTGTTTTTGAGTAGAGAGCATCAAAATAATTCAACAAAACAGCATGCAAGGCACAGCTATTAATGTGATTTATGTTTATATGTGAGCTGTAAGAATCGGGAATTATAGATGTTATTTAAAGTCAGACTGAAACATTTGTATTTATTTTCTGTACTTGTTGATACAAGCTGACAAGCATATTCACAGTGTTACATTGTAAAAAAAATGTATTTTTGAAGAAAACACTATTTCAGTTTTTATAATAACGCTTCCTCCAGTGAAAAAGTGTTCTGGACTGAATCAGGAGAGAAATCTGCACAGATCAAGCACCGTTTAATATTATATTAAATATTAAGCAGCAAAACTGTTTCCAGCACTGATAATAAATCAGCATATTAGAATGATTTATGAAGGATAATGATGCTGAAAATTCAGCTTTGCATCACAGAAATAAATTATATTTTGAAGTTTATTAAAATAGAAAACCTTTATTTTAAATGGTAATAATATTTTACAATATTACAGTTTTTCTGTATTTCTGATCAAATAAATGCAGCCTTGATAAAAATTATTTTTGAAGAAAACACTATTTCAGTTTTTCTACTTTAACGTTTAAATTCACTTGTGTTTCTTTGTAATCATTTGTAAAACATACTAGCAATTTCTGAGTGAAATTTGTTTCAAAGTAAATCACCAATTTTAGTGTAAGGGATTAACACTAATTTTATGTTTAAAAAAAAACAACAATTTTACACTTAAATGAAAACCATGGTACATTTTGTTTTGATGAGCATCACTTGACACCATTATTCATCTAAGCAACCTAAAACACACAATCCACTCATTTAAACACATGCAAGTGATTGTTTGTGTCCGTGTTTATCTCTCATGCACAAGCACTTATTCTGACAGCGACGGGGTATTATTTCAACAAACGGCGTGTTTTAAACTCACATTTGCTTCAGGAAAGCGTCAGACATGTAATCATCGTCTTCGTCAGCCATTTGCGTAATTAATCAGAGACTGAGAACTAATTCTAATCGAAATAGAAATGAAATTCCTTGGATCACTTTCGTCGTTCCTTCTGTTAAAAGTGTCCGACTGGAACGCAGCAGAACGTGTGTTTGGTTCCTATTTAGACTGATGCTGGGAACTCCGGAAACAACAACAACAACAACAACAACATTTTAATATTAATAAGTGTTTTATTGTTTTTATTTTTACTAAATAATAATAATAAAAAATAAAAATAAAAAAAACAGGCCTTTAGGTGACGAACAGGAACTCTTAATATGAAATCTGAATTTAAAAATGTATTATTTGCAATAAATTATATACTCTGTTGCAATTATAAGTGTATTCCGATAATATTTATTAATAGTTCAGGCTGCTATTCAGCAGTAATAATAATAAATAATAATAATAAATGACTATTCTAATGTGTAAATCCACTAATAGCATTTACTAAGTCAGATATATATTTGCTTTCTATAGAGTTTTAAATTAAACCTCATATTTTAATACAGCCAACCCGCTTTAGATGATGGAGAGGGACTCTTAATATGAAATCTGAATTTAAAAATTAATTATGTATTTGCAATAAAGTATATACTCTATTACAAATGCATTCCAATAATATTTCTATCATTTTTAAAAAAAAGTTCAGGATGTTTTTTTTTTAGCAGGGATTAATAATAATAGTAATAATAATAATAAAGTGTGCTGTTTGTTTACAATGCAACACATTGAAGAAGAGACACAGTCTTTGTTTGAATAAATATAACTTTATTTTCAAGAAAAACAACTATTGTACATTTTCACAAATTAGGTATTTGCATTTATTTATTCTAGTGACTGTATAACAATACATTGGCTTTGTAAACTTCCACAACAACTTATAATATCTAATATATAATCTTATTAATATAAGATTCTGTTATATTGCTCAGCAGAGAATTACCTGAAGCAGCAGTATTCATAATATAAACAAAACAAAATGATTTTTTTTCCTTCCACATGCAGCGTGAGAGAATTTAGATACACCTATTCTTGTGTAGTTCTTTATTAAGTAGATTAGATGAGTTTCACTAATGCAACAGCTTCATTTAGGATCGGATGACAGTGTGACGTTTGCAAAGTATAGTGTTGTTTAAAAGACATCTCTAGGATCTCTCATGCTTTCTTTATTACACCGAAACATGAAACAATAGCAGTAGATTTGCTGAAGCTCACATTCACAGCTGGTAATGCAACAGACACACAGTCCAATAAAGAGACCAGATTAAAATGCAAAAGGCAGAACAGTCAAAAAATTACAACAAACTGACCAGAACAAAATTGCATAATGCCTCAAATGGCACAAATTTCATTATAATGAAAGGAAAAATTCATGTGCAAATAATGTTAAATGCAGTGAGGAAATATATCCAGTATATCCAAATCAGGTTAAAGATATAGTTCAGCCAAAAACGTAACATTAGCTGAAAATGTGCTCACCTTCAGGCCATGTAAGATGTAGATGAGTTTGTTTCTTCAGCATTGGATTGGATGCTCTGCAGTGAATGGGTGCCGTCAGAATGAGTCCAAGTGCAAGTGAGAAAATCCATCTCCTGTTGTCTCTCACATCCACATATTAGTTTAGAGCTGTTTAAACGCTGCTTGATCTGTGCAGATTTCTCTCCTGATTCACACCAGAACACTTTTTCACTGGAGGAAGCGTTATTATGGATTATGGACTCTATGGTATTTTAGTTATAAACGTCTTAATGCTGGATTAGTTTCAGCTTTTGTCTTCTCCAGATGTTAACTGATGGACTGGAGTGCTGTGGATTATTGTGATGTTTTTATCAGCTCTCATTCTGACGGCACCCATTCACTTCAGAGCAAGTGATGCAATGCTACATTTCTCCAGATCTGATGAAGAAACAAACTCAGGATGACCTGAGGATGAGCAGATTTGGACTTCAACTACAAATGAGTGCAGAGACATCAGATCCTCGTTTGCTTTTAGTTCGTTACTCCATCTACTTTAAAATATCTGCTGCGAGCATCTACAGCTCCTCACTTTCTGCCCTTCGCTCTGGTTGGGAGGCAGAGAATATGTCGCTCATGGGAAAGGCTGACTTTATATCCAGACCCTGGCTGGTGAGAGCAGCGTATCGACTCCCGCTGAGCTGCGTTTTCTTCATCGGTGGATGAACGTGCTGATACCACTGAGCTGCAGAAACAACACGTGAGGAAATATCTGTTACTGAAAATCTTCTGCACTCCGCATATGAGCTGTGAGTAACTTTATTTACAGATAGCTGACAAAACTACATCTTTTAGCATTTTTGCATAGTTAAATATGATATAATTGTATAAGAGAAAGTGCGTATTTCAGAACATTTTTTATCTTTATTAATCAACTTTTTGCAGTTCATTGCACTTGTCCTGCAGTATGACAAATACATTTATTAAAATACAAACATTTAATGTTGTGTCTACACATCTATTAATACTGCATTTAAGGTCATAAAAACACGCATTGTAATAACTTCTAAAATAACTAGTTATTTCTACATTTATAACTAGTTATGTCTAAAATATCTAGAAAAATGATGTTTAAAGTAGTTTTAGATAGAGTATAATATAGCGGTTTAATGTCTAACTACTATAATTATTTCTTAAATAATTAGAAAAAATATGTTTAAAATAGTTTTAGGTGGAGTATAATATAGTAGTGGAATTTAATTTAATTATTAGAAAATGTATTTAAATAATTCCATTTTAAACAGTCTTAGATGGAGTATAATATAGTGGTTTAATTTGTAATTATTAGAATAATTTCTTAAAACAATGAGAAATATTATGTATTAATACAATAAATACAATAATATAAAAATAATCCTAAAATAATTAGAAAAACACTTTTAAAATAGTTTTAGATGGAGTATGATATACTAGTTTAAGTTAATGTTTTATGTTTAATTATTAGAATAATATAAAAATAATATAATAATATAAAATGCAATAATATAAAAATAATCCTAAAATAATTAGAAAAAAAAACACTTTTTAAATAGTTTTAGATGGAGTGTGATATACTAGTTTAATTTAATGTTTATGTTTAATTATTAGAATAATATAAAAATAATATAATAATATAAAATGCAATAATATAAAAATAATCCTAAAATAATTAGAAAAAAAAACACTTTTTAAATAGTTTTAGATGGAGTGTGATATACTAGTTTAATTAGAAATGATGACAAAAGTAAAAAATGTTATAATTATGAGATAAGTCAAAATTATTACATGAAGTCATAATTATTAGATAAAACGTTATAACTAAGATACATTATAATTATGACATAAAAAGTAAATTATGACAAGTCAAATTTATGACATAAAAAGTCAAAAATATTAAGTCTTAGACAAAATGTTATAATTATGAGAAGTTAATTATGACATAAGTAGAAATTATGACAAAGTAAAAAAAAAATGTTATAATTATGAGATAAGTCAAAATTATTACATGAAAAGTCATAATTATTAGATAAAACGTTAGAATTTATGAGACAAGTCTTATAATGGCATAATTATGGCATAAAAAGTAATGCAAACATACTCATACCCATAATAGTCATAATTGTGCGAAAGTCAAAACTGGCATGAATTTATGATAAAGTCAAAAATTTGATTATGAAATTATTATGACATAAAAAGTCAATATTATGAGATAAAGTCATCATAAGATAAATGATGATATACTAAGTCATAAAGACTTAATATTCATATTTTTATTGTCATAATTATGACTTTTCATCTCATGATGACTTACTATGCCATAATTTAGATTTTTTTTGGTCATAATTATAAATTTCTATCATAATTTTGACTTATCCCATAACTATGACATTCTAAGTCATAAATATGATTTACCAAAGCGCAATTTATTTGATTTTATGATTTTTTTAATTTTATGATTTACCAAAGCACAATCTTAGTATGATACACTAAGTCATAAAGACAGTAATTTTTATTGTCAATAATGATGATTACTATGCCATAATTTTTATAATTATAAATTTCTATCATCTCATGATGACTTACTATGCCATAATTTAGATTTTTTTTGGTCATAATTATAAATTTCTATCATAATTTTGACTTATCCCATAACTATGACATTCTAAGTCATAAATATGATTTACCAAAGCGCAATTTATTTGATTTTATGATTTTTTTAATTTTATGATTTACCAAAGCACAATCTTAGTATGATACACTAAGTCATAAAGACAGTAATTTATATTGTCAATAATGATGACTTACTATGCCATCATTTTTATAATTATAAATTTCTATCTCATAATTTTGACTTATGTCATAACTATGACATTCTAATTCATAATAATGATTTACCAAAGCACATTTTCTTTATTCTTATGTGGCAGAAATGGGCTTTCCAGTACTTTAATGCTAAAAAGACGATCAGAAAAGATCTGGCTCTTACCCACTACTCTGAGCTCGAGGCCGAATGAACTCTGTCCAGCTTTATTTGAGGCGATGCAGGTGTACGTCCCGTCATCAGCTTGAGTCAGAGGGTCAATAACCAGAGAATGGATGCCGTTTTCTCTCACAAGCATTCGGTGAGTGAGGTCTGGATATATGGGCCTCCCGTTCAGAAGCCACATGATTTCAGGATGAGGTAACCCACTCACCTAAACAGCAGAGAGGAGGGTTCAGGGCATGAAGACTCTTTCTGCAATATCTTATTTGTCATTGAGTGTGTTTACATGCACGTTCTTAAGCCGTTTATGCTTAATAAGCATGTAAACGCCGTAAGCCGTTTTCTTTTATCAGAGTAAGGTCATCAACAGTTAAAGCATAAGCTAGTCGACTCGACACAGGTAGTTTGTTGCCTCATGTAAATGCATTAACCTGCTTTCTGTGGGATTATTGAAGTGTGCATGTGTGATACGTGACAAGAACGCATCCTTAGTGCAGATTTGAGCGGAATATATCACAAACGCAGACTCTTTCATGACCCAGAAAATGATCAAAATGTGTTCTCATCTCGTGCAGCAGAAGTGGTTCAGTCAAAACGCTGCTTCTGTAACTGCATGAGAGGATAATATATG